TGATAATAAAACCCAGGTTGAACTGACCAATGATTTCCATATCCTTGAACATATCTTTGCTGTAAGAAAAAGTTGAAGCTTTGTCAATGGCATATAAACTTGATGATTTTGGTACTTTAAGAGATCAATCAAAAGATCAGTATAACCTCATTTCTTTCTTAAGCTCGTCCTCAGCACTCTGGTTTTCACCAGGGTTAATATTTGCCCTGAACCGTCTATATTTTGGCTCTTGATCATTGTTCTCTTTCTTCTGAGCCTGCAGCCTCTGCATCCTTTTAGAAAGTTCCTGCAGAGAAAACTGCAAAAGCACTGTTTTCTTCTGTATGCTGACAGGTGAATCCAATTGCGTAGAAGCATTCTTGTTTTTAGAGTCCACCAAACTGTTTTGTGCTAGAGGTTCAGCTTCATGTCGAGCTCTTTTAGCTTCAGGACTGGAAATTCTGTCCTGGTGTTGCTCTGACTCTGTCTCCGGCACCAAAGGTTTATAACTCCAGAACTTCTCATCTACGGGTTCATCGATAGTCTCAGCTTTAACATCAGTTTCATATATACTAGAGTGTAAACCTGACTCTGAATTGTTTTCATGTAAAATCCGTGGATCATCTTCAGCTGAATTTTGGTTTGCAGCCTCAGAATCTTCAGCATCACTATCAAAGGTGCTTTTATATTTAGCTAGACAAACAGTTGATTTTTTTATGGAAGAAACGGCAGCGAAACTTGGAGAGGACTTTAAAGGTGGCCTCATAATGTCTGTCATTTTTTTAGAGCAGCTCACAAAGGAAAACATCTTCTTCTGAGAAGAACCAGAACAGGCAGCTTTATGACTAGACTGCTTTGACCCAATTCCAGGAAACTGATGGTTTGAAAATGCTTCTTTAAGTCGAGCAAGCCTGATGGAAGTCTTTGGGGGTTCATCATCTGGAAGTGCTTCAGAGACAGAACCTATTTCCCGATCTTCTGAACCAGCACTTGTCTCGGTTGGTCTACACAAGTCTTGAATGAAGAACAACATCAACATCTGTAATAACACTTCAAGACAACATATGATATGTCTTAAAAGGTCTGATGTACTTACTGGTAATTGCTGGAGTAATGTGATTGAGACTGATTTTATTGACACCAGTCTCAAACATTGCAATGAGTGAGCTTTTCAGAATTGCCAGCAAGAGTTTTTCCTCTTGTAGAAGGATCTGACGTTTGTCTGGAGTCACATTCACGTCCACACAGTCTAATGTGAAACAAAGAATTAAAACTTATTGATAAATGACAAGTATCAATCAATTAAGTGCATTTAGCATTTATATTTTTGAATAAGTCTCTTTTGTTCACCCAGGCTCCATTTGTATGATAAAAAATGCAGTGAAATATTATTACAATTTAACATAACTGGTTTCTATTGCAATTGTTTTAAAATTCAATTTATTTCTGTGATTGTATATATATATATATATATGTATATATATATATATATATATACACTGTATATGAATTTTTAATTAATTGAAAGTTTAGAAGAACAGAGTTTATTAATAATAAATTTTTTGTAACATTGTAAATATTTTACTGACACCTTTCATCAATTAAAATCAAATGCTACAGTAGTGTAACAGTAGTGTACACTTTTATATACAATTAAATTTCTTTATTGTTCTGTCAAGTCTTACCTGAAGCAACAGTGATGTTTAGAGCGACAAAAGGGTATTGATGCCGATTGTACATGTGATAAACCTCATTCACAAGCTTGGAGGCCTGCAAATATTACAAAAAAAACAACAACAACGATGATGTTATACTTATTATATATAATTATATGAACACAAAAAAGCATACTTAAAAAAAAGAGACCACACCTTTACTGGATCACAGGGTCTTTTATTTATAAAGAAGAACTGTCTGTCAGTAGCACTTCGACCAACACCATGATCCGCTTGTGACACAAACCCGTCAATGCTAGAATTTAATATCATCAATAACGATCACTTTACACAGGAATATTCCAAGTTATAAAATGGTTTTCATTACCTTATTTGCAGAAAGTGCACAATCAAATTCATGTGTTTACACAGAAATACTCACACAAAAAGGTCTTTAGGAACATCTACCTCCCTGAGACCATAGTCTTCCTTAATTGAGTCACCGGGAGACATTTGTTGGAAGGGAATCAAACTTTGTAGCTGTGGATAAGTAAAAATGTGAAATACTATAATAAATAATAATAAAAGTACTTTGTTATGATTATATAACAAAGTGTGTTCTGTTTGTCAATATTGGTGTAAGAACAGTGTTGTCAAAAGTACTGATGTCGGTACTGAAATGTTAAAAATGTGACCATACCAAAGCCGCATCTATCGGTAGATCCCTAATATATCTGCGCATAGACGGATCTGATGCAATGAAGTAATGATCATATCATTGTAGCCAATCACAGACATTTCTGTTGAGCGTGTGATCACAATGGCCAATCAGAGGTGTTAAAGAATCCTCTCAACAGCGCTCAAAATGCTAGTGGGAAATGCTGGTATTGTCACATTTTTTAAATTTCAGTACCGACATCGCTACTTTTGACAAAACTATGCAAGAATTTCACTTCTTAAATTATCCACTACAAAGAATAGGTCATTCTCACCTGTTTAGGTCCAAACACAGCTCCAATGTTGTCTCTCATGCTGTTACTCTCACTGGTGCACAGTACTGTGGTGCGCTTGCCTTGTCCCGTCTGGTTGGCGCATGTAATACGCACACCAGTGGAGATGATGCAGTAGGACTGCAAGACGAAAATCATCTTGGAATATTCCTGTGTAGAAACTCTGGTTAATTTCTTTCTAAACATGGATGCAAACCCCTGTACCCAAGTATCTCCCAGCAGACCTTTTTGATGTTGCGCTGGAACTCCTTGTGTCGGACAGGTAATGTGGAGAAGAGTTTCTGCAGAGTGACAGTTGTGCCATGTTGGCGGGGATGCGGCACATGCTGAGTGAGATGACCATCATGGTCATACACCAGCCGAGCTCCGATCTGAGCGCTCTCATGGCAGGTCACAACACTAAGATCACTGCGATCATAAGTTAAAACAGTGTACATTAAGGAATCACTAGTGGATAGAGAGATTAATAAAACAAGATATCAGAACATGAACAAATGTGAGATCATCATTAAACTATACTCATCACACTCATATTGTAAGAATTAAGAGGACAAATCCAAAGTAAATTGTTACCTAAGAGCACAAAGTGAGCTCAGAGCTTCACCACGGAACCCAAACGTCTCCACGTGTATCAGGTCGGAAAAATCTCTTAGTTTAGAGGTGTGATGTTTTAAAGCTGCAGAAGTTGAAAGGACACAATAAGTTACTACCAGTTAGAAATTAGAAATCATTTAGATTTTATAATGTTTTTGAAAGAAGTCTCTCATGCTCACCTGAAATGATTTGATCAAAAATGCAATAATAAAAACAGTAACATTGTGAAGTATTATTGCAATTTAAAAGAGCTGTTTTCTATTTTAATACATTTTAAAACATAATTTATCCCTGTGATGGCAAAGCTGAATTTTCTGCAGCCATTACTCCAGATCTTCAGTAAAGCAGCAAAAACTATTTTCAGCATTGATAATAATCAAATGTTTCTCGAGCACCAGATCAGCATATTAGAATGATTTCTAAAGAATCGTGTGACAGTGAAGATGAGAGCAATTGCTGCTTAAAATTCAGCTTTGCCATCACAGGAATAAATTGATTCATTTAAAAAATATGAATAAATGCAGCCTTGGTAAGCATAAGAAATATCTTAAAAAAAAAATCTGAATTATTTCAAACTTTTGACCGGACGTGTATGCATGCCACAGTCTTTTATCTCTAATGTTCACAAGGCAACTTACTTAGTCCCTCAAAGTTTTGCTCCTCAACACCTTTTCCATTGTCGGAAACTTCCACTAACTCTATTCCACTGTCTTTTAGCTTGACATCTGTATGAAAACAAAACACTTGACCAAATGTAGCGTGACCTCAAATGCAATGTTTCCTCATGCTCTCATCCCTTGAGCTCACCGACATTAGTGGCACCAGCATCAATGCTGTTCTCCACCAGCTCTTTCACAGCTGTGGCCAGACTCAGCACCACCTGTCCAGAGCAGATCTGATGCACAGACTGTTTGTCTATTGCCTTTATGGCTCCAGCAGAACCTGTGCTAGGAATTTAAAACGCAGAATATGAAGGGAAACATTAGTGAACAGCACTGTACAACACTATAGTAAACAGTATGTCCAGAATAGCAGATCATCTCTATCAGTCTATTATTTCTCGTTGTTCTAATGTAGCAAACTACTAAAATTAATATGCAAAGCTATAAACACTTACCTTGAGTCTGACATTTTTTCTATAGCAATATATATGGTATCAGTCACAGAATCTTAACTTAAGGGTTGCATTTGAGGTGTTTTGATAGCTTCTGCTCCCTGCGGTATCCAGGTCAAACAAGGAGCTGAGTTTTCATTGCTCAGTGTGAAAAACCAATGCTTCGACAAGGAATTAGTTCTGATGAACTATAATGGAACACACTTCAGTATTTCATATGCAATAAACATGCGCACAACGGAATAGCTCTCTGCCTCTCTCTAGACGTTTCCCGCGGTGTGACGCACAACGTCAGGTCACCACACGTTTTGCGTAGCATGTGATCAACTGTGTACACAAAGTGCACTGTTTCGTCTTTCCGTATTAATGCGTTTTATTTTTTATTGTTTCTTATTGATCGGTTACATTTTATTGACGTGTCGGATTGTGATGCATTGTAATAAAACTAAAGTACCGACTTTAATGCATTATTTTAAAACGTTTCATCCTGTACTGTCTATGGTTTCATCATCCTGCGCGTGGTTGCCTGAGTAGGGACTGTGTAAAAAGTTCAATTCTAGTATTAGACGAAACTGACACTGAAACAACAACATTGTTAAGGTTATTTTCTTGTAACTTGTGTTGTTTATGGAGATAAAAGTATGTAGAAACTACAGTAAATCAATCGAATGATTATTCGATTAATGTTTAGATGCATATTATCATAAGTTGTTCATCACATGGTAATAACTTAGAGATACTTCCTGACTGTTGTCCGTAGAAACATGGCGGGTCACTGTCGGTGTGCGGTGGTATTTTTATTCGGCCAGTTTTAAAACGTGGAAGTGGGGTTTGGCAAATTAAAAGGGCTGGGTTTTTTAAATGTTGGCGCTTCTGAATGGAGCTACTGAATGGGATAAACCGAAGTGTCTTTTAGCAAAAAGTCATGTTTCACACAACAGAGAGACTCGGGGCTGAAGAAAGTTCGAGTAGCGGTGTAGTTTCCACTGCTAACAGCCGTAGCTTTCATATCCGACGGGGCCTTTCCACTCAAGACAGAGGACCAAGAGGAGGAATATTCAGCTGGACAGATACGGAGGAGGACGTCCAGTTTGATAGTGAGTCCACTGCAATATAAAGTGCAGCCCCTTTCATTCATGACTGTAGTCATGGCTAGAGTTTGGGCGTATAAGCCTAGTATTAATTAAGGTTATTTACTCTCTTTGTATGATAATGGCTATAAATATCATGTGCACAATCTGTCAAAGTATGTCCAAACAACTAAATTGATTGAATGCATTTTTAAGATGTCCCTCCTCCAATATTTCATCTGTGCTACTTATTAGGGGTGTGGGGGGCAACTTGAAAAGCTGATAAGTTCATTTAGACCTTACCCACCCCAACTGTACACTGAAGATGCAGCATTGGTATATTTCTCTTTGCTCAGCTGTTAAGAGAGTACCGTAAATGCTTGGTGTCTAAATGGATTCAGGGGAAAATGACATTATTGCTTTAATAGCCAAAGTTATTGCAGAAGGTAAGAAATCTCGAATCCAAGTCCTTTTTAGACTCAGTTTGGTTAGTTTTCACTTATTTTGTGTATTTGATATTCAAACATATAGTATTCAACGTTTTTAATTGTCATATAAATGTAGCCTCAGACTCGGACAATAACTGTGAAGTGTTGCTGGCGGGGAGACAGTATCCATCGATCCAGGATTTTGCCTCTGCCATTCCCAACCAACTGCTGCTGGGATCTCTACTGGAACACTTGTGCTTTGTGTACGAGAGTGATCCTACACGCTCACGCATGCTGTTTAAGGGTAGGTTGATACTGCCTTATAAATAGGCACCTTTTGTTTATTTTTTTTAATAATCTGTTTTTTTTTTTATTTGTCTTACATTTTGTTTTCTCAAATGCCTCTGGTGTTTCAGTGATAGGCCAGCGTTTAGCAGCCATGAACCTCCTGTCACCACTGGCTATCAGTGATGAGTTTAGTACGGTCCGACTACAGCATAACCGGGCATTCACAGAGCTCCTGCACGCGACCAGCTCATCTCTCTTCCCCCAGGTAATCCGACATAATTCATCATCAATTTCATTCATTTTTTTAATGTCTTCTATGCAGCTGTTGCTTTCATGAACAAAAACTAAAAACCTGTTCATCTTTTGGATTCTGCAGGAACATAGATACTTGAATACAGAGGGCCAGAGCCTAAGGTGAAAACTTTTACACTTGTAGCAGCTCCACTTACACTGCTTTGTAATATACACTACTGTTCAAAGGCTTAGGGTCAAATAGGATCCGATTTTTTAAATGTTTTTTAAAGAATCTCTTATAGTCACAAAGGCTGCATTTATTTCAAATGTAATTGATTCCTGTGAAGGCAAAGCTGCATTTTCAGCAGCCATTACTCTAGAAATCATTCTGATATGCTAATTTGGTGTTCAAGAAATATTTCTTATTATTATCACTGCTAAAAAACAGTTGTGCTGCTTAATATTTTGGTGTAAATTTAGACATATTGAAAATGTTACTTGCTTCAGGTGTACACAGGAAAACACTATCAGCAGCAATGGATCGTCCATTGTTTTTGAACATTCTGAAGAAGCAGAAGCCAAAGAAAATCAGGTTGCATTAGAGAGCCTCTCAGTGAAACCCTCAACTTCAAAAGAAGAGATGGGACATGCTGTTTGCCCAAAAAATGTCCGCAACCCACAAAACTTTGTTCCATGTGTGTTTCTGGGAAAGCCACGTGCTACAGTGAACAAATGCCCTGCAGCTAAATGGGAGAGCTCAACACTCTCACTCAGTCAAAACAGACTGGAATTGAACAATAACTCTTACATTGATATGGACACTGCTGAATGGTCCGAAAAGCAGGCACGCGAGGTATATGGTTCACTAAACACTGAATGTAACAATTGATTTAAATGAGGAAATCGTTTATGTTTTTCATCATTTTTTCTTGTTCCTGTCTATAGGTTCAATTCCACTTAATGCTTTATATACAAATGCAGCTGTGTGAGCGATCTTTGAAAGACTGGATACATGAAAGAAACTTAAGGACCACAGAGGGACTCTTGATGTTAGTAGGTGAGATCACTTTATTCATATGAATTTACTATAGTTCACAGAGGAGTTTTCACTTCACATACTTACACTACACACAGTCTGCACTTCTTTCTTTAAATGCCATTAAATAGGTACTTTTTTGGAAGTCTTATAAATTGCTCAGATTCCCTTCCTTTATATTATAACACTTATATAACAAATATAGTAGTCACTTACATACAGTACACCTGTTTCCTGTTTTTGCATTGGCTGACACATTGGTTGAACAGGAAAGACAAGAAAAGCTGATTTCCAGAGCATACAATGGACTTACAATCACAGATTATTTTTTTTTACATTCAATCACAGCATATAATTGTGTTGTTTGATTATTTTAGCATTTTTTAACCAATACATTGATCCACAGATCCTTGTGAGTCAGTTGACTCTGAACACGCATTGAAAATTTTAAAGAAAATACTTGAAGGAGTGGAGTACATTCATTCCCGTGGTATTATGCATAGAGACCTTAAGGTATATGTACTTATTTTGTTGGTTTGCATAACTTGGTATTATTCACCACACAAATATCTAGTACATGTCTGGCTTGAAACTGTAAATGCATTAGTCTGCATGGGAGGAGACCTAGTGTTTTGATAACAGATATTGGGCTGGTGTGGCACAACAATTTGCAAAACAGGTTGGACTTTTGCAAAGCAACAGTATACAGCCAGCATGGCATTTAACAATCAACTATTTCAAAATAAAATAAATTGCAGATAGTCACTTTGACAAACACTCTTCTTGTCCCTCACAAACAAATTCTATCTGTTTGTCACAGTAAGGTAACACAGTATTTCCAGTATTTCTCACTCATCTCTTCTGGATACTTGGTCTTATAAGTATGAATTGCTTTCTTATAAGTATTTTTAATCTATATAATAGTAAACCCAAATACCACTTGGATCTGCACACATTTTTTTAATAAACAAAAGGCTAGAATACACAGTTACCTATGAAATTCCTAAACAAATGTAATTATTTTTAAAGCGATTAAAATGTTAAAACTGTTTAACAAAATAATTTTGGATATTTATTACTGTGGATCTTCTATTTGTGTAACAATAAAAAAATATATATAAAAAAGATTTAAAAATTCATTTATAATGCAAAATCTGTATGGGAACTGCACATTATGGGTTCTCTCCACATAATTTTTTTATTTATTTTAATCAAAGAGTTTTTAGTCCTAATAGCATCTCAGTTTCGATTATTTTAAGGTTGCTCACACTTACTGTTTTTATAGTGTCTGTTTGTTGCAAGTTTGTTACAAGTATATTTATTTATTTATTTACAGCCTAGAAACATTTTCCTTCATGGACCTGAGTGCCATGTGAAGATAGGGGACTTTGGATTGGCTTGCCGGAACATAATAATGGACGAACATGAGCAGCGGCCCTCCAGCTCTCAAGCAGGTGTAAACACAGGTGACAGGCCTTGCAACCTCTTCTGTATTCACAAGAGTATTTTAAGTTATTACAAATTCTGAACTATAAGATTTACTAATACATTTTTACATTGATTATTCTCATTTTCCCATTTGTTGCGAAACTACCTCTGATTAATTGGCAGGTAACAGTAAATGGCAGCAGTGAACTAATGCAACATATTATTTCTCATTACACTTTTCACACTAGACTCAGCTCACACTAGTGGAGTGGGAACTTTTGTTTACGCTGGCCCAGAACAACTTGAGGGTTCTCACTATGATTCAAAGGTAAGAAAAAAATGTAAAGTTACAAACCGTTATAATGTAAAGTCTGCTGTTTTTTTAGGCTGGACTTCGGTGCGTGGCTGTTTCATCTTAGACACATACTAAAAATGTGGTAGTAAAAACTTGATGCTCAGTATTTGTTTCATTTGTACAGTCAGATCTGTACAGTATAGGAGTGATTGCCTTTGAGTTATTCCAGCCATTTGGGACCGAGATGGAGCGTGTGCACACACTTGGAGAACTACGGCAGGGCAAGATCCCTAACACTCTATCTAAAAGCTGGCCACTTCTGGCCAAGTATATCACCCTACTGACCAGCACTGATCCCTTAGTGCGACCAAGTGCATCTCAGTTACTTCAGAGTGACCTCTTCAGCGCCAATGACATGGTATGTGTGTGACTAATGTTTTTTTTACCCCCAAAATGGAACACAAACCAAAAGTTCATGTATTTTAGTTACTTTTGTTGCTTTGAAGAAACGTTTGACCTTGTAACTTTGTTTGCATTCTTTATTTTAGGTTATTCACAGTTTGAAACGCAAGCTTGATGAACAAGAAGAAGAAATTGTTCAGCTCAGGAGACAGATCAGTGAGCTACAGATCTCTCAAAATGCAATACACAGTCCAGAAAATATATAATAATAGTCACTCTTTTGAAATGCCATAAGTGCTCAATATTTGTATATATTATATGAATTGTTGTATGTGTGAGTGCAGCTCTGCTTGTATGTATATAAATGAGTGCCATATTTAACTTGACAAAAGGTTTGTAAAGTAAAGTCCCATGCCAATGGTGCATTAGTCTCCATTTATCTGACTCTTTAAAGCTGAGTAAATATCACCTCAAAAGTAAATAGTACCTCAATAGTATTCTTAATAAACATGAAAATTATTGCCCAATTATGATGAATATTAATAATACCCCAAGGTATATATATATATATACTAATGACATGTTACTACAGAAATATTTATCATTTTAATACTTAAAGGGGTCATATGATGCTTTTTTAAAGATCATTATTTTGTGTATTTGGTGTAACAGAATATGTTGACATGCTTTAATGTTCAAAAAACACATTATTTTTTAAATACTGTACATTATTGTAGGGCCTCTCTCAAACGCTTCGTTTTCTACAAAGTCCCACCTTCCGACAAGCACAGTCTGCTCTGATTGGCCAGCTGACCTAGTGCATTGTGATTGGCCGAACACTGCAAGCACTCGTCGGAAATGTAACGCCCCTTACCATAATCGTAGCTTCAGCTTTCAAAATAAATGTGAAGACAGTAAATAATGTCATTAGTTTTACCATCAGTTCAAGCCCGAAAGGGGAACAGAGTCACATGACAGACACAGTGATGAAGCTGGTATGTGTGCAGTACACAAGCCACGGTTAAGACAGCTGACTCCACTGTGATGTGAGTTCCCCCCTCTCCCCCTCCCTCTCCCTCTCTCTCTCTCTCTCTCTCTCTCTCTC